ATGCTATGAGGGATGATAAAGGACAGGGAATAGCCAGGAATGAGAAACATCCACTCCAAATCCCTTCCACAAATCTGAGTCTTCTGCAGTGCCCATGACGGCCTCCACAGCAGGCTTGCCATCATGACTGTCCCCAGCTGTCCTCTGTGTGGATGGGTGCTTATGAGGTGAGAGGTAAACATTTGCATATTCAGTTCCCACACTAAAAAGTGTCTCTGTCACAAAGCAGTAACAGGTAGCATGGAGCAGCAGCCAGGTAAATCTCTGCAGGGTACAAAGAGCCAAGAATGCTACAGAACAGGGCTGTGGCTTGCAGAGGGCAGAGTGTGGCTCTGGGAAGGACATCAGGGCAAGGGAAGGAACCCTGCTCACATAACTTCCCCTGGGCTGGACTAGGTTGAGGCAAGCCAGGCCCTCATCTTGGGGTTTCATCCTAAAGTTATAAAGATGAAGCATCTTATAGCTCAGAAAGTAAGTATTTCCCAAATACTTTTACACTGGTAAAACACAGCAACTAGCTTTCATCTCCGAGATGTATCTCGAATCTCTGCAGTTCTTGTAATTGTACTGCACAAACTTTGTCTAAGCCACTGCCATCGTCCACCCAGATGACAATAATTGCCCTAACTTGTCTCCTATTTTTACAATGCACCATACACATCGGGGCAATCCTCTTAAACTGAAGCTCAGATCCCATCTCTCCCCCGATGAAGCCCTTTAGTGCCTCCAATTTCATACTAAGCAAAACCCAGACCACCTGCCCTGGCCCAGGAAGGCCCCTGGCTGGTCTTGCCGCTGAGCTTCCTCTCTTTTCACTCCTTTGACAGTCTCTCCTCCAACCACATGGCCTTTCTTCCTCAAGCTTCTTTCCCATTCAGGAACTGTGCAAACATCATTCTCTCTGCCTTGAATTACAGTTGATCCTTATTATTCATGAATTCAGTATCTGTGAACTCATGTACTCAATAAGATGTATTTGTCACCCCAAAATCAATATTCATGGTGTGTGAGATTCACTCAAGGTAGTGGCAAAAATATTGAAGGAAAAATATTAGAGAGTTATAGAATAAAGTCACAAACCTTCTTGGAAGGCCATGAAGTTTGCATAGTTTCACTAAACATTTCAGCTAAAGGCAGCCTTATCCCCTTTACCTTCAGTTAATTTAAGAGAAAAGCAAATGGCTAAGGTATGTGGAGGTTTTCTAAATAACTTGTTTACTCATGCAGTGTTAAAACTAACCTTTAAGCCAGATAACTCTCTCAGGGTGGGGTCAACCAAGAATACTACCCCCTAATAGTGTTTGCTTTAGACATGAGAACCTGTCCTTTAATCTTCTCACTTTAGTGGTGTCAACTCAAGCCTTTGTCAATTAAACTTTACTAAATAAATGTGAGTCTTACTGGCTAAGAAGGGCTGGCAGTCGCAACTGCCTACAGAACTCTCCAAGGAGTCTGTAGGTGGCCACAAACACCCAGCCCACTCATTCACAGTATTCTGGGTATAAGTGAATCTATTCAACCATCGTTAAGTCAAGGTCTGCAGGACAGACCCCCCCCTGCTCCCCAGGTAGTAACCCCAGCAGTGTCACCACCGTGGGGCAGCCCCAACAATGGTGCTTTCATGGTTCTTCTTGGAGGAGTGCAGAGCAGGGAAAACTTTGAGTTCACCTGACATGCACATTCACAACTGAGCTCAGACAAGGCCTTCCTTTACTTTGCCTTCTTATTTCACCTCTCATACTACAAATAAGTGCCCATTTGTGATCTATTTAGTGCCATTTTGTGTGTGTGTGTGTGTGTGTGTGTGTGTGTGTGTGCTTTTTGTTCACAATTTTGCTGTTTGAAGTGGCCCGAAGCACAGTGCTCAAGTGCTGCCTAGCATCTCTGGGCACAGAAAACTGTACCATGCCTCACAGAAGAAACACACATGTTAGGATAAGGTTCGTTTAGGCATGAGTTACAGCTCTGCTGGCTGTGAATGCAACGTTCGTGATCAACAATATATGTTAAGGAAAGTGTCTTTAAGCAGAAGTGCACGTAAAACAAGGTCACGTATTGATGAGCTGATGAAAATGTTGTAGCCAGAGGCTCACAGGAACCTAGTTGTTGTGTTTTCTTCCTGAGAGCAATGGTTTGCTGTTTGCTCATTTTTTTTGTTTTGTGTTGTTTGTTTTTGTTTTTGAGACAGAATCTTGCTTCATCACCCAGGCTGGAGTGCAGTGGCAGAATCTTGCCTCACTATAACTTCCACCTTTCATGTTCAAGCAATTTTTGTGCCTCAGCCCCTGCACCCAGCATGCAGCAGTTTTATAGGACATAACTATGGTGAATAACAAGGATCAAGTGTGCTTGCTTGCCTGTACATTCATTACCTGTCTCCCCACACTAAACTCTAAGCCCCTTGAGGGCAAGGACCATATTGGTCTTCAACTGGGACTGGCAAATAATAGGCACTCAATAAATGTTTGTTTAACTAGTGAATGAATTGCAAATAAATTATTTCCAAATATAATTTTTAACCAGGCTGTAGGCTGTAGTGTTTCCTGTTCAGGAGTTAATATTTAATACATCTTTGCAAAGGATAAAAAAGGATTTCCATCAGGGTCTGACTTTAATATAAACAGTGCAAATGAATGCTAATTAAATATCTTCACTTAATTATTATTTGATGCTTTTCCTTGGTTGGAGCCTCCCCTTTAGGCTTGAAAAGATAGAATAAACTGATTCTTTTCCTCTACTTTCTCCCAGTGTCACTGGCTAGGCGCTGTTGGCTTTGATGAACCTCCCTGAGGTTGCCATGGGGAGATGGTGTTGCCTCATTCCCAGGGCTGAGGCTCTCAAGACACTGCTTTCTTGGAAACCTGAGGAGGCCAGGAGCATCTGTTGCATGCTTCCTCCTGGGGAGACAGGGGCTACTCTTGGAAGTCCATTCCGCTTCTTACTAACCCACACGGGCAGTATGAGAAAGACATTTAGCCCTAACTGATCTTATGATCTAGCCTGGAATACTTACAACTGGGTTTGCTAACAAGCCAGGTCAGTAACTCCCGACCTTCTTACTTCGGTCCAGCTTCTTGTCATGTATTGTCTTCTATTATAGAAGGGTTGGCAAGCTTCTTCTATAAAGGGCCAGATGATAAGCAACATAGGTTTTATGGACTACACAATCTCTGTCTCAACTACTCAACTTGACCTTTGTCATCCAAAAGCTGCCACATGCAAGAGTAGGCATGGCTGTGTTCCAGTAGAACTTTATTGGCACAGGCAGGCAGAGCATGAGATATGGCCCATGGGTCATAGTTTGCCAACCTCCATGGCATACCCCCACTTGCATTATGGTATCTTCCTTTGTGTGTGTTCTACTCTGTGCTGTGTGCATTTTAGGGAAAGGCCTGAATCTCATTCACTGTTTTCCTCTCAACATCTGGTGTAGTGCCTGCCCCGTGACAAGCCCTCTGCCAATATTTGCTAAATGTGTGACGTATAAGACATGGACCCCAAAGCGCAGACATTGTGAAACATGCTAAGCAGATGAAAGGTGACCTAAGCCCCAGTGGCTGCCCATTCATCATCATCCTGCCTCCTGTTGCCAATATTCAAAATAGCAGCAGTTGTTTTTCTGTCAACAAATCAAAATAATATTCCTACATTTGTTCAGCAAACAGCCACTGACTGTGGGGACAGCATCCAGATGTCGGCTGGGTTCTGCCTGCCTTTGAGAACTAAGTACACATGTGATAAGTCCTGACTCCATGCCCTGTAGCAGTCCAGAGGCTTCCCAAGATTTATGTAAATTCCAGAGGGTTGAAGAAGGAGGCCCTGAGTTTCCAGGTCACTTCTGACTTCAAGTTTCCATGTCTGCAAGCTAATTCCATTTCTTAGATGTCTCACTATCCTGCCCATGCCAATCTGTTGCATCCCATATCACCCTTTTCCTCAGTCCCCTCTTGATACACATCTGCACACACACATGTGTATGCACATGCATGTGCACGTGCACGCACACACACACACTGTCATCAGAATTGGATGCATGTGATCTAACTCACTGAGGATGTTTACAGCCATGGAAAGGGCAGTTACATCAAACAACTTCAACCTGAACCCTGAATAGCCCTCAACTTTCTATCCTTCTCAGCATCCCATCCCTCTTTATTTCTCACAAGACACATCACCCCAGAATGTACCCAGCTTCAGTGCCTATTAGGACTCCTCTTCTTTCTCCAGTTTTCCCCCCTCCTCTGCATCTTCTCTTCTTAAACAGCTCTGGAGAGATGTGATTGACATGCAAAAGTGCACACGTTGATGAGTTTTGACTTACGTGCACATCCATGATGCTATCACCATGATCTAGACTGTGTATGTGTCTAGCATCCTCAGAAATATCTTGGGCTCCTTTGTCATCCTCCCTTCTGCCCCTCCTTTTCCATGCCCAGCCCCAGGCAACCATTGATCCGCCTTCTGTCACTATAGAGTAGTGTACATTTTCTAGAACTTTATATAAATTGAATCACAAAGTATGTCCTCTTTTTTGTCTGGCTCCTTTCACTCAGCATGATAATTTTGGGATTTATCCATATTGTCGCCTGTGTCACCAGTTATACAGAAACAAAGACCTTCTGCAGAAAGATTCAATTTTGTGCAGCCCCTGCCTTGAAAGAACTTCAGACTCCCTTTTAACAGACGGAGAATGCCAGAAGATCAGAAGGGCTCTCTGTCTTTAGAAACCTGTTTTTTGTTAAATAGCCATTTTTCTCCCTATTAAAAATAGCCATGTTTCAGTTGACTCAGTGGCTGCTTAATAAGCACCTACTATGTGCCAGGCATTGTTGTTAGGGTCAGGGTGGGAATCAGAAAAGCATAGCCTTCCTCTTGGGGGATGGTCAGAGAATGAGTAGGTGAACTGCTAAACAGATACAGTAGGTGTGCATATATTTCTTTTGCTTACAGGTTTTAGGAATGTAATCCCATATTTCCTTTATTTACTCATTTAAGTACTTGTTATGAACAATACATGCTCATTGCAAAAAAAAAAATAAACACGAAGCAGCATAAAGAAGTAAATTAAACATCACCTTTAATCCCACTGCCCAGATATGGTCACCATTATATTTCATTTTGTTAATTCCACAGGCGAGTAGAGGAATACATTTTGTTTCATTTTGTGTAATTAAATGGGCCATGGGAACTGCTATCAGCTTCCTGGGGAGCTGAGTTGTGTTTATTTTTTTTAAGAGCTACTAATTTTTGATTAACAAGGATGAATGTAATATTTAAGAGGAATCTAATTACACCCTCTTCCCCTTCTCAGTAAAACAACGTTATTCCCCACCAAGTGTGGAGTCAAGACTCTGAGGATGTATGGCCCTGAGCTGGGGGATTATAGGGGACATTTTTCATGTCACTACCTAGACAGTCGTGTGAGTGCTCCAGCAGTGAGGGATCTCGGCTGCAGGTTACATTCCCCGCCGAAGCCAGGGCTGGATAATAACTCACTTTGTCATTACTTAATTCTGTGATGCCTGCAACTACTGAGCCAGAATAAAAACTCTCAGTCCCTGAAAAGATGAGAGACTCAGTGTCAGGATGTTTAGGAACAGAGAAAGCAAGAGGGCAGCCAAAAGGGGCCATTGGGTGGCTGCATAAAGAAGTCCGATGATGGATGCAGTGCTCCCGATTCATTCCTTTTCTAAATGACATATTTGCATGTTTCCTTCGTCAGTTCACCCGGTCCACACGTTTCCATGCGGTGCCCCTGTGTGCCAGCCATAGAGGCCACATCCAGTCATAGGCCACACCCCGTGCAAAGCGATTCTCTCAGCACAGTCGACTGAATAGACCTTTGCCCTGTGGGAGACTGAAGCTATATCTGTTTGAACCACAAATAAAACCCCGGAGTCTCTGCAGGCATTTGCCAACATCTGGTGGTTCTCCAAATGTGTCAAGTTCTCCTCTGCCCCTGTGCTAGGGTTTCTACCCTTACTGCCATCCCACAACCCCTGTGCCCCCACCCTTGCTTCTTCCTCAGCACGTTACCACAAGCCAGCCTCATTTCGGCACCATGGCCAGCACCCACCAATTGCCCAGCCCTCCTGCTGCTGGGACGCTAGTTATTTCCTGCATCAACCCTTCTCTATGCTTCTGCCCACTTTGCTTCCTCTGCCCATTCTCCCTCCAAATAACAGCTGCCTGGCTAATGTCTGCATACCTGCTGGCAACAGAGTCACACCAAGGTTGATGTCCAACTCTGCCATTAAAGGTTGTGGGACTTTGGGTAAGTTCCTTAATCTCTCCAGACTTCATTCTCTCCAGGTGTAAAGGGAGATAATGCCTAGGGGATTAAATAGGCTGACCTAGCAAAGCTCTTAGCACAGTGTCTGGAACATAGGAAGAACACAATACATATTAGCTATTATTGTAATCTGTCAAGAATCATCCCAAATATACCTTGTACTAAGAGTCTTTCCTCATCACCTGCTCCCAACCCCAGGTGGAGCTTGGATACCCTCCTTGGTACTCACTTAGCATAGCTTACATCACAATTGCTCATGAGTGTGCTAGTAGGATAAGTAATATTAGCTTCTGTGACAGGTAACACCTCAAATCCCAGTGGCTTAACGCAAAAGTGCATTGCTTACTCCTACTAAGGTCCAATTGCAGATAGTGGGGTAGGGATGGCTGTGCTTCAAAACATTCAGAGATCTTGGCTCCTTCCATTTCATGAGGCTGCCTCTTCAGGGTGTGGCCTCCAGGGTTGCTGTGGAAAGGAAAGAGAGAGCAAGGAGGGTCTTGCAGGGGTTTTGTGGCCAGAATCAGAAGTGACATTATCACTTCTGCTCACTTTCCTCCATCCCAATCTAGCTGCTTGAGAAGCTGAGAAATGCAGCCTCCCTGTATGTGCACAAAGAAGATGAAATTGTCTCTGACTGCAGGAGTGCTTCTCGTCTCCCCACTAGGCCAGGAGATGCTCAAGGTCGGTGGCCATGTGCATTGGGTCTCTTACCCAGTGTTTGCTCCCTTCTGCCTTCCCTGGACACCTCCAGAGTGGAGCAGGTGGCACTGTGGGGAAGGGCTTTCCAAGCACAGAGGATGGAAGTTGCAAAGGTACAGAGGGACTGGGAGAAACCTACCCCTTCAGGGAACTGCAAGTCACAGCAGCATTTGCTTGGGCTGCACACGTGTTACTGCATAAAAATAGCTCATTACCACATTGACATAGGATGCATGTGGAGACAGGGCAGGGATGAGCCAGGGCAGCTCAGGAGAGCAGAGCTCACAACCCTTTGAGTAGAGGCCAGCATTTCTGAACCGGTCTGCCTCTGCTACGGAGCCTACATTTCCTTGGTTCCAATGGCAAGGCTAATAAGAGTGTTCCTCCTTGGGTCACATATTTATTTGAATAGAGCCACATCCCTAAGCCAAGGAAATACATTGCATTGAGTAGTGCTTTGAAGAACAGGCAAGGAATTGAAATTGCCGTCAACATTCTAAAAGATGTGCTGCAGTATGTATTAGCTTTTTCGAAACAGTCACACTCTTCCATACCCATAATTTCACTCCTAGGAATATATCTCAAAGAAATAATCAGAAATGATGTCAAAATGTATATACTCAGGACACAGAGATTTATGTGCAGAGTTCTACACTGCAGCCTTATTTATTAGCAAAAAGTTACAAAGTGGCCCCAGTGTCCAACAACAGGAGGCTAGATAAATGTATTACAGAGCTGCCATACGATGGAATAATATGCAGTGATTAAAATTTTGAAGCCAGGGGAAATAGTTTCTGATATAAACTGAAGTGGGAAAAGTGATACGTCCAAGTTGGTAAACTGTGTGATTCCAATTACATAAATCACATGTGGAGAAGACTTTGAATAAAATGCCTGAGGAAATGAGTGGGCTTTCAGGCTCCTGGAATTATTGGCTGATTTTTTTTTTCTTCACACTGTCTTGTATTAGCAAGCTGTTAATATTGAACACATACATTACTTTTATAAACAGAAAAAAAATTTTTAAGAAACAAGGTACAAGGAAACCATAAGAAAAGCATCCTTTCTTGGCAGACCCACTCAGAGATACTATGTTTCTTTCCTATCGTTTTCTCAGAATTTAAATGCTTGCCTAGACCACCAGGCCTCTGAGCCCATAATAGGCACAAACTAGCAATTACTAACTGCCTGGCACACGGTCTTTTCATCCACCATAACATCCATTCAGCTGCACAAAATGTATCATCTAAAACCTCACCGGGATAACCCTATCATGGCACTTTTCGTATATGTAGAAATGAAAAAGGCTTTTGGCTTTGTAAGTTTTATAAAGACATTTCTTGGCATCTAGAAAATGACAAGAACCCTTCAACTCAGATTTAACAGCACACCCATCCCTAATCTTGGTTATGGTTCAAAAGCGTTCATGGAAATTTGAAAAGTGGTTTCCCTTTTCACCTGAAGCTGTGATTTCCAATTTGGTCCAGAGGATAAAACTGCCTCGAAGCAAGCTAAGGGATAGATTGGTGTTTTCAGTGTGTTCTCTTAGGTGGGATTTTTAATCCAGTGTGGTTGGGTTGTTAAGACAAGATAGATAATGAAACAAAAATAATCATCTTACCCTAAAAGATACAATAAAATGCACTCTCATTCTCATCTTGATGCCAGAAGACGAACACCGAGATGGTTCTTCAACTCCCATGCACCAAACTACTTACAAGCTTAAACTCGGGTCCTAGGACAGAAAGTTGAGGGTGTTCAGGGAGATGTTTGCAGCATACCCAGTAAGTGGATTTAACCCAATCTCCACCTCAGAGCAGGCGCCACTCCAATATCCCTCCAGGAAGCCATCGTGAGACAGCCTGTCCACAGCCCCGCTGCCACAGGCTCCAGTGCCAGGGAAAGCTATGTCTCCCAATTAGTGCAATTCCAGGAATTAAGTACTCCTTCCTTGCCAATTACATGGTCTCTATCCTTAGAATTGAATTTAATCTCGGTTAGAAAACTGTTGAAAGCCTTCAGTGCTCATTTTTCACCAAATTGAACTCTATAATGTTACTATAATAGAAAAAAATCTTCCAAAGTTCAATTGGAATTTTTTCCCAGTAACTTGATAATAAGGCTCCAATTTCAGGAAAATAGTTTCAGCGTGAGTGAAATCGCCCGGTTTGCTGTGCAGCATCAAAGCCGTCCTCCAACACAGGGCAGAGGCCAGTGCTCCCTGGGGTTGAACTTTCTGAGAGGCCAACAATCATTTGGAAACTTTCGTTTCCAATCATGTAAAAACTTTTAGATTTTTCTGGCAACATCCAAGAATAAGTTATCTCACTTAGATATGAGTTTTCTGTGAAACTGAAGCTCACCACTTCAAGTGCTATATCTTTCTATATATTGACTACATTTCTAAAATATATGTTTTCCTGATTCTTAAATAGAGTATGGGAAAGGAATTTAAGGTCATTTGAGGTAACCATTCTTAAAGGTTAGTAAGTGAACCAAGGCCATGCTTTACTTGATTTTGAGTTTTTTCTGTCTTTTGTGCTTTCATACAAAATATCATGCTCTGATCACTAAACCTGACTCCAGAAATCCACCTGGAAAGCAAACTAGACAACCAGGCTTTTTGAGAATTTTGACTTTAAAAAAAAGAAAAAGAATGATATTAATAGGAAGGCCTAAGAAAGAAAGAATTAAGCTTTATCGAGCAACTACTAAGTGCCAGGCATTTTCTGTACATTTTATCGTTTCATCCGTCAAACAACCCTAAGGCTGCCCTTATTGTCAACCATTCACCCAAGAGGCTGCTGAAGCTGGAGGTGACACACATCTGTTCAAAGTCACACAGCTACGAAGTGGCAGATGTTAGCCAATGCTCTCCTGCTGTAGACCTCAGAGCATGGGCCTACTCTGAGGTCTCAGCTAACATTTTCTCTTTCTTCCAAATTGGGGCTTGTGCCCACAAGGAAGAAAGGTGGCCAATGCTGGCTCTTCACGGCAGTAGGGTCCATGCATATTTTCTGTCTGGGGCAGAGTTTGCCATGGGGGTCTCTCCTGTGAACACAGGCTCTCGGCTACCCCCTGCTGCTTGCCACCACGGCAGCCAGACACCAGCTTTGTCTTCCTGGAATAAGATGAGTGACAGAGGGATCGTCCAGCCATATCTCCTTTTAAGCACTTGTGGCCCCAAGTTGATGGCATCTCAGCTATACTAGATGTGTCAAAACGAGAAGGGACCAGATGGTATTCTAAGTGAGTCTCTCCTGCTGCATGCAGAGGGAAAACTGAGCACAGCATTCATTTATGTATCCATTCAGTGGGTCAGTCAATCTGTATTTATTAAGAGCCTACCTATGCTAAGCCTGCAGCTTTCTATCTGCGGTCAGGAAATCACCTCCTGTGCTTTGGATGTTTATGGTGCTGTTTATCCTTGTGTAGGAGCTACAACCTGTTAAGGAGCGTGTTTTTCATGCAGTGCTGTGCCTGTTTCCTGGGTTAGCAAACAAAGGCTTTATGCCTCCTCTTACTTCTGTAAGTTCCTGTGCTCAAAACCGGACAGCTGTTCAACGGGCACAGCAAAATGTAAATTGATAAATTACTGAACTCCCCTCAGAGCAAGGCCATGGCATCTTAGCCCAGGCTCTTGTGATTGGAAAACACATGCCCAAAACTTGCTCAGAAACAGACAACATAATCTTGGAAACCATGTGAATCCAAGCAAGGCAAGAAAAAAAAGATACTTAGATGTGGCAAGAATGGAAAGCATAGCATCTGACTGGAAATTCGCCATGACCTCTCCCTTGAAACGGCCACAGGAATTGAAAATGAGCTGATTGAAGCAGCCGAAGTGGTTCAACTGGGTCAACCTTCCGGCACTCATACCTCCACCAGCTCTCAAACTACACCTCACAGTTCATCTCTTCTATTCCTTCTGACTGCTCGTTCCCCTCATGACCTCAGGCCAGCGTCCTTCTCATTCTTGTCCCCATTGAGTTTGACCTGCTCCTAATCTGTCATGGTGTCCACACACCACATCCCAATAGAGGCTTCAGTGTGGTACTTCAGGCTCCCAAATGTGCATGATAAGCTCTGTCCCCTCCCTTATTTCCCTGTTCCATATAAACAACTTTTGCTGAACGTCTCCATGTTGGAAGCTCACGGGCCCATGAAACATTAAATACTCAGAACAAAATTCACCTTCTCTCCCAGTGTTCCTTGTGCTGGTGAAGGATAGGACCATCTCCCAAGCCCCAGTCAGAAGCCTGGGTGCCCCTCATCCCTTGTCCCCCACACCTGCTTCATCACCAAATCGTGTGGACTTTGCCTTCTCAACATTTCCCAAATTCATCCGTGTGTCTCCAGCCTGCTGCTGCCACCCAGGTCCCTGCCTCCAGTCTCACCTGCTGGAGGATGATGACAACCTCTGGAATTCTCCTCCCCCTGTTCCTGCAGGCCCCAGCTCAGACATGGGTTCCTCAGAGAAACCTCTCCTGACCCCACTGATGATACTCTCATAGCCCCTTGCACTTACCCTTTCATAATCTAAATCTCATTTGCAAATATTTGTTTCATGTCAGTTTTCCCCTCTGGACCATGCACTCAGTGAGGGAAGGAAGTATTTCCATTTTCTACTATTGCATCTGCTGTGCCCTCCATGTACTAAGGTTCAATACATAATTCTTTATTAAACAGGTTGCCATGATTATCCCTAGGTCCTCATCCCCGTGGTCAGATACTGTCCTTGCTTTTGATGTTTATGGAACTATTTATCTTTGTGTGGGAGCTACTACCTGTTAAGAAAATGTCTTCATCATGCATTCACTTCAGCATTTATTCAGCAACTTTGAAAATTCCCAGTCTTTTTTCTGCCCCCTGCACCTTGGTTATTATCTTTTGGTAACTCCACTTTCCATGCTATGGACCATCTGTTCCTAAACATTCCTAATCCCACCTGCTCTTTCTTCCCAATCCTAGAAACATCTTCCTCGTTCTGATTCTATCATCCATCTGCTAGACTGTTTATTGGTAATGACCTCTTAACCCTGTTCTCTCTTCAGTCCATTCCTGGTACCTCTACCGATGATGGGCTCCCTGACACCTGTTCAGATCATGTCACTTCCCAGGGCACTTCCAGGGCACTCTGGGAGCAGCTTATCTCTGTGCCTCAGTGTCTCAGGCCTTAGCTGGAATCTCCAAGGGCTGAACTCAGGTACCTCTGACTCCCAATCTATTCTCTGTTCTTATTGATTTTGGTTCTATGGCATTTTCAATTATGGCCATGAAAATATTTCTGATGTTCTTCCCATTCATGGGTGAAGTCTAGCTGATGCGGGAGCTGATGTCATCTGAATGCTTATTCAGTTGTTGATCTGAAAATTGTTTCTTGCTGTCAGCCAGAACATCTCCTTGTGGCCTCTCCATGCAGCCTGGGCTCCCTCACAACATGGCAGCCAGATTCCAAAGGTGAGCATCCCAAAAGCCAGTGTGCAATGGGTTCTCTTTCACCTTTTATGATCCAGCCTCAGAAATTATACAGTGTCACTTCTACTGTACTGTATTTATGAAAGCAATCATAAAAGCTGGTCCACATTGTAGGGGACAGAAACTAGACTCCATCTGTGAATGGGAGGAGCATCAGAAATATTGTCATGGACATTTTTGGGAAATGCCATAGGGTCAAAGTCTACACGAACAGAGGATAGATTGGGAGTCAGAGGTCCCTGAGTTCAGATTCCAGCTTCATTGCTCATTAGCTTTGTGGCATGGGGAAATCAGTGAACCCTTTAATGCTGTGTTATTTGTAAAATGACTGTGATTGCTAACTGACTGTGTCAGGCTGTACACTCATTTCTTTGGTGGCAAGCCATAGAAACTAACCCTCATGAGCGAAGAAAACACACATTCAGGCATGCGTGTATTGGATACAGGTTTATAACGTCTGAAAAAATCCACATTGAGACAGTGGATTACTCAGCAAGGCTAGTTTTACTTCCTGCAGGAAGGATGCAACTCGCTGGCAGTCTTGCCATGAGAGCACAGCTGAACAAAGGAGACAGAGCCATTTGTAACTTTCATAACCTGATGTAATCGCCCTACGGCTGTGTCCAGTTTCCATTGGCTGGAATGGGACCTCACATTCTATGCTTGACCTCATTGGCTAAAAACTTGGAAATTTTCTAAAGAAGTAAAGGCAGAGGAGAAGAAAGGAAAAGAGGAAGTAACTTGGGGAATGCTTAGAAAAGCGATAACATTTTCCAATAAGGAAGGGGAATAAGCTTTGACCTAAGACTTGCCTGGGCTTGTCCTGGTATGTCAGGGCGAATATCTAGGTGAAAGTGTAAGAGTAAGAACACGGGATGCACTTATTCCTTTATTATGACTAACAGCTACTCTAAGATTATTAGAAAAAGCTTTAAATTAAATTAAACTTTGAAGAAATTATTATTTATTCATAATGAACTAAGAGGACAGCTTTGAAGCTGAACCTTTTATTTATTCTTATTTCCTACATGTTCACACACACACGACATAGAGAAGCAAAGAAAAAGATGATGAAGCAAGCTTCAGGAATGCTGGAAAAAGCTGCTTCCGTGATCTAGGTTCCTGGGATGAATGGATGATATTTTTAGGCCCTCACAATCAGGACAAATCAGCTCCAAGTATTTTCCATTTTGTGTCTCTCTGACAACATTGTACAATCCCATGATATTAAGTCCTGGTGGACTGTCTTGAATCAGA